GGAAGTAAGGATAGATAGATTTATATGGATCTGTTGAAAAGTAGCAAATAGGAACAATACAATCAATTTTCTTTGGCATAGATTTTGACCCTCTTAATAAAAATATACCTATTATAACTCAAATTTGTGATAATGCGACCAAAAATGATTTAGAATTACCCTGTCAATTTATAGAATGGGGCTATGTGGTTATTTTAAGGAAATTCTTTTATACAAAATAGTAAATAACTAAGATGAATTTTTCAACATTGGGGAACTTTGGTTCAGTTATATAGTTTCCTTATGAAATTGAATAGAAAGGGTAATAATAAAAATTTGACATTCTTTTTTTCCAAATGCATACAGTAATGCAGACAAAGGAGTTTTATTTTGACCCAATAACAAAGAAAAATTTATGGTTTAAAAATGGATTATCTTAATGATCAGTCTTGATCCCTTTTTAAATGTTATATTCTTCCACTACTGTTTATGTACCTTTCGAGATGCCCTTGAGGAATAGAAGATGAAAATAGGAAGTAGGTTAACTAGCAACAAACAATCATTGCCAAGGTCTAAGTCTTAGCCTATGCTGAAGACATTGCTATCATAGTTAATCAAGAAGTAATTAGAATATGTACTAAACTCTTATTTGAAATATGTGGTAAAGGAAACCTAAGCGTAAAAATTAAGAAAACCAAATATATGGCTAACAGAAGAAATTTATCACTAGAGGAAATTTGAATAGAAAAAGTGGATAATTTCAAATCTTAGAGTCACTATTAACATCAAGGGAAATATAACCGAATTATATAGGTGAATGAGAAAAGCTGTGCTTACAAGATCAAGATAACTTGCAATGATTAGAAAGATCATCCCTTCACTTCAGAACGTTAACAAAATTATGGATTTTATATGAACTTCCTTGATAAAATAGAGCAATTTATCATTATGGTTTAAAAAATAGAGCCAAATTAAGATATGGAAAATCCTCAAAAGAAGTTTGTTTAGATATGCAATGGCCCGTAGTTGGGATTGGATAAAGAATATAAGATTAAGAACGATGAACTATGAAAAAATAAGGCGTATCCCAGGATATACTTACATCAATCTATAGAATTATGGATGGAAAAAATGTAAATACAATAAATGTAACCGAATGTGAAACAAATTAAAGAAGAATTGGTGATACTTTCCATTTAATTGGCATGAGAAAATCGATAAAGTTATAAACAACAAATAAATTATTTGGCAATAAAAAGAGTATGACAGAATAAATTAAGATAATTTAAAAAAGATGAAGTAATTCTTTAAAGTTGATAATATATATTAAAAATATTTAATTTTTGAATGTAAAAAACAAAGGTTAAAGTTTGCTATATTATTAAAGGATTAAGAGCAAAATGCTTTTTCATTTATCTATATATTAGTTATTCTAACAATTTTCCTTAAATAGTGAAAGCAATAAAAATCAATAAATTTTTATGAAAGTAATTAATATAGAATTAGGAATAAATTAATTTTCTATTTTTTAAATTAAATTGCTTATATTAATTTTGCACTAACTAATTTATATCATTTAATAAACAATTAAATATAATTTGATTATTTTCATTATTAAATAAATCAACATCTATTATAATTAAAATGATTGTAGATTTCTTTTTTTATTTAACTCTCTACCAAATGATAATTTCAATTTTATTAGAAAACTTTTGCATTCATTGAATTTTTTAAACCTCCCAAAATATTTCATTATTTTCATCATTTGTAATAATTTTGTCTATTCTTTATTAATAAACTTTATTAATTAAAATACTATTATAATCAATAGAATGATCATCATTCACTTATTATTTTGATCTTCTAATTGATGTATTAATGATTAAATGATCCAAATTTTAGTGTGAAATATGCATTAACCAATATTTATTAGGAAGGTCAAATTGGTCAATTCCCATTGTTTTGGCTCGCCAATATATATCAATTAAAAGGAAATCCATAAATCAGAGTGCTTCATTTTATAGACCTTTTTGTTATGACTTTTAATAAATGGTCTTCTGTTATTGCTGTCTTTTCCTTTTGGGAACACAAAATACCTTCAAATTGATACTAAAATATGCGGACATTGAAACTATGGCAACATTATCCTCTTAAAGTATTAAAGATATTTGTTATTTAAGTTTTTTTAATTCAGAATTAATAATTCATACAATTTAAATAACTTTAATATTTAATAGTGGATTAAATTATAAATGCATATATTAAAAATTTTATTTA